AAAATAAATAAATAAATAAATAAATAAATAAATAAATAAATGTTGATAAGGGGTTTGACTTTATCTAGAGGACAATGAGGACGCTCAAGGGGGTTCTAAAATGGGTAAAGGGAAAATGATCTGTTGAGTTCCTGATGATCGAACCCTTCCTCAAAATGGAGACAAGTAGGGAGATGGTGGCCAAGGACTGGAGCCAGGAAAAAAAGTGAGCAAGGAATGTGAGAGAGTGTAGTGGTTACTTCAAGACTTGCTGATTGGGGTTGAGGTGGGCGGATGCCTCAAATGCTTCTGACACAAGGGGGTTTTTTGTTTTATTGATTTTATACACGGGAGGGGGGGGGAGGGAGGGAGGGAGGAAGGGAGAGGGAGAGAGAGAGAGAGAGAGAGAGAGAGAGAGAGAGATCAACCCGTTCCCTCCCAAATGTGTCTGGACTAGGGATCTAACCCACAACCAAGTATGTGCCCTGACCAGGAATCAACCCTCCACCTTTCCATTCAGGGTGCACAGGCGGATACTCCGCCCAACCCGTCAGGGCAAGGGTTTTGTTTTGTTTGTTTGTTACATGCATAGTACAGTATATATATTTTTAATCCTTATTCTTGAAAGTATTACATAAGTCCCCTTTTTTCCCCCCTTGACCCCCTCCAGCCCGCACCCCCCCTGCCCCAGGCCTTCACCACCCTATTGTGTGTCCAAGCAGTTATGCAAAAAAAGGGTTTTATTTTTAAATGAGGATCTTTTTTATGGCAGTTCACCTACTTAATCAACATCAGAACTACTGAGAGAAAACTGGTTAAAACCGGCTAATTCCAGGAACTCTGTCCCCTCCCAAAGTATGATTCAGTCAATCTAGAGTGGAACCCTAGTGGGCATTTTCCCACTTCCAGGCATCCCTCCCCAGGCTTAATTGTTAAATTAAAGTGGGGAGGAGGGGTGTGTTGTTTATCATAGTGTGGACAAGGGTTCATGATAATGCTGAGAGGATAAGGGGAAAGCTTTTTCTACTCTTGAATAACAAAAGCACTTGATGAACTTAAAACTGGATTGTTGAGGTAGTAACTTACAGCTATTTTAAACACCAGATGGCCATATGCTTCCACCAGAAAGCAGCTAAACAAATACAAGGCAGCACTAGCTGGTTTGGCTCAGTGACTAGAGCATCAGCCTGCAGACCGAAGAGTCCTGGGTTCGATTCCGGTCAAGGGCATATGCTCGGGGTGCGGGCTCGATCGCCAGTTGGGGGCGTGCAGGAGGCAGCCGATCAATGATTCCCTCTCATCATTGATGTTTCTATCTTCTCTCTCCCTCTCCCTTCCTCTCTGAAATTAATAAAAAATATATTTAAAAAAAACACAAGGGAGAGTGGGAGCCTGGTGGATGGGCTAAAGGTACAGGAAGTCTGGGAGGGCCACCTGAAGCCACAGGCTCAGTTGGGTAGGAAGCTGTGGCCATCTATTCTTAACCTACCCCAGTGCAAACCTTGGAGGAAGCCATCCTCCTTTCGTGCCTATCTGTGCATAATGGAGACTTCCAAAAAGAACCAGGGGCCACCCTGCCAGCATGGCTGTCGTTGAGCATCGACCTATGAACCGGGCGATCACAGTTCGATTCCCAGTCAGCGCACATGCCCCGGTTGTAGTCTTGATCCTCAGTGTGGGGCGTGCAGGAGGCAGCCGATCAACGATTCTCTCTCATCGATGTTTCTATCTCTCTCTCCCTCTCCCTTCCTCTCTGAAATCAATAAAAATATATTAAAAAAATAAAAAAGAACCAGGGGAATTTTGCTAATGGTGTGTCATCCCACTGACTGCTACAGCCATAGTTAGAACTTTCAATGGGGTTCTCTACTCCAGCACTATTGACAGTTTGTGCTGCCAATGCTGGGGGCCAGGAGGCTGCTGTGCACTGTAGGATGTTTAGCAGCATCCCTGCTTCTCCCCAGCTGTGACAACCAAAAATGTCTCCAGATACCACCAAACGTCCCTGGGGGTGGGTGAAGAGGGAGACAGGGCTGCAGAGAATCACTGCCTTAAACTGAGGCTTCCCAGTTGTTGAATTAGCAAAGGCTTTGGAATCAAATAGACGTAGCTTTGAATCCCAGCTACCCACCCCACCAGTAAGGTGAAAACTTCAATGGGCCCCTTGATTAATCTTAAAATGGAGATAACAAGACCTACACAAAAGCTGTTGTGAGGATTACATAAAGTAATTTGCAATGCAATGCCTAGCCAAGGAGGCATTTCATAAATATTAGCTTTTACATTTTCAAAGAGTTGTTTTGAAGAACAATCAGGGGACTTCCACTTATAGCTCTGGCCTTGAGTGGAAACCTCCTCCTTAAAAAAAAAATAAAACACACACCAAAAAAAAACAATATTCAGAAATGGCAGTCCAGTTCTCTCTCTAGCTCCTAGAGCAGCAGTTCTCAACCTGTGGGTCGCAACCCCTTTGGGGGGTCGAACGACCCTTTCACAGGGGTCGCCTAAGACCATCGGAAAACACATATATAATTACATATTGTTTTTGTGATTAATCACTATGCTTTAATTATGTTCAATTCATAAGAATGAAATTGGGGGTCACCACAACATGAGGAACTGTATTAAAGGGTCGCGGCATTAGGAAGGTTGAGAGCCACTGTCCTAGAGGATCTGTACCTGAGGCCATGGGCTCCCAAGAGGCCAGGGGACACAATTCAGGGGGAGGGGGGCTGTGAACTTGGATGGGAAAAAATACATGCCCTTACTTTTTATGAGTCAAGATTTATCATGTTCTTCAATTATACTGCTAAAAACACACGTTATCAACTATATCTGGCCACTGTCACCAATAAAATCACAGCTTTTCTTACCACATCACCGCTTTTATATAAATTTTCTCCACTCTACTTGGAAATTATGGCCTGCTACTAGGCCTGCTGCTATGTTACTATGCCACATATTTTATTTTGTTTTTTAATTTGCAAGTTGCATTTTAAAGAATTGGGTTCTTTTATACCTTTAAAATTCTTGTTCTGAGAAGAGCTCCACAGGCTTCCCTTATGAGGGTGTCAAAGGCAGGAGAAGTTAAGAACCCCTAGCCTAAACCTTCCATTCTTAATTTATTATAAACAAGATTTTTATGATGAAACAAATTCATGAATGAGTGATGCAGTCACTTTTTCCCCTGCTGTATAAAGTATAGATCAGTGGTCCAAAAGACAAACTTGGTTTTCCCACTCAGGACTCATCCTCAAATCTAATTAATGTAAATATGGGCCTTCTTTTCCCCTAATGGACTTGCGCTAGCTTTCCACTTTTACCATAACACCCATAGGGCCCACTTAACCAGCACTTATCAAACATCTATGATGTTCCAGAACCGTTTCCAGAATACAGACCCTGGAGATCTGCCTTCAAAGATGCTCCCAGCCTAGGGGGAAGATGAACATCAAAAGAATTGATAGACCTTCCAGGGCTAATTGGCCAACCAGAGACTGTGCTCTAAAAGGGCATCTCTGTTTACCTGCATACTGGCTGCCTAGCACGTACAACTAGAAACAAACAAGGTATCCTCCACCGGTATAGAGATCCTTAAACTATACAAACACAGAACATGTTTATCCTTGTTATCCTCTCAGGTTGAGAAATCACAAAATGCTTTCTGGGCTCAAGAGTCCTCAGAGTCCAGTACTTCACTTGCAAGATGACCAAAGATGAGCCTTTTTTTTTTTTAGCAAACATTAAAGTTTCCGGGATACCTCATCAGCCAGCATGCTCAAAAGGCATCACCAGGCCCAACTTACCAGTAAAAGTGCCCTTAGTGGCCAGTGGCTGCTGTGTACTCCTGGCTTGCACTGGTAACCAAGTTATATGAAATCACAGTAACATAACTCTATATGCTTCAAGCTTAATTCCATTAAAATCACATCATAGAACTGTAGGATTAGGAAAAAATACTGACAAATGGGAAAAAGAACATAAATCAAGGCTCCACCGGCTTTGACTCAGCCTTGAGTCACATCCAATACTCATGCCAAGAGTCGTGTATTTGGACTCATTATTATCAATTAAATGTTTTTGGAGACCTCACAGGTGGTAGATCTCTCATAAAGTGCCCTTTAATGAAAACCAAAAGAACTGAGAAGAGCCTGGTCTAGCCAGGCCCCTTTGTTTTACAAGTTTGGATACCTACTGACAAGCGAGGGTGACATGCCTCCCTCCCCTATCAAATGATGGGGGGAATACAATACAAATCAGACTTCTCTTACTGCCGAAACACTCATGTAGGGATTCAAGATCTAACATAGATGCATGCATACACACACATCCCTTCCTTAGAATTATTTCTTTGTAGAATGTTCTTCACCGTGCCATCAAAACTCTCTCAACTTCAAAGATTAGCAGAGCAGGCTGGGAATTAAGAATAAATGGCTGGGAATACGCCTCGATCTTTTTTACTTTACTTTCTCTTTGCAAAACGCAATTATTTAGATGTCACTTTCACACCTTGCCAACTCTGAACCTGCCAGTTTCTGCTGCTCCCTTCCAAAGTGCACATCCATGGTTCTCTCTCCCTCTCTGGCCAGTGTCAGGCAATGTTCAAGTTCTCTCACTTTTTCTTCATACAGTTATGTGAAGGTTTTCCCCCACTTTTACAACACAACACAGAAGCAGCCATCATTTCAGCAGGCAACATCCGAATTAAGCTGAAAGCTGTTACAGCTTCAGGCAGGGACACACAAACTGAGTCCAGAGAGTACCCTCCTTAGAGCCTAGGAACTCATGCTAAGTACAGGTGAGTGCTCACAGGTGCTTACCACAGGGTCACCTCCTAGACTCACCTCTTAGCAGCTAGGTATTCCTTCCTCCATCCTCACTCAACCTCCTCACCTCCAAATTGAGTATGCTACAGCCTGGCCAGTATGGCTCAATGGTTGAGCATCGACCTATGAACCAGATCACGATTGGATTCCTGGTCAGGGCATATGCCTGAGTTGCGGCCTCGAGCCCCAGTGGCTGGGGCTTGCAGGAAGCAGCCAATCAACGATACTTTCTCATCGATGTTTCTATCTCTCTCTCCCTCTCACTTCTCCTCTCTGAAATCAATAAAAATATAGGTATTTTAAAATATATATAAATAAATTGAGTATGCTACAATCTTCACTATCAGCTTTAGCTGGCAGGGTGACTACTCGACAAAACCTTAGCTATCTCACACCCCACCAGCTACATTCCCCAATCACCATTTTACCTCTGGATTCTTCCCAGCAGTCTCCTTTCCCTCCATCCTCACCTAAGAAATGTGGGAACTAAAAAAAGCTTTGTTTTCTCCAGGGCACTTCCAGACCACCCAAATACAATGAGATTACTTAGCAACCTGTAGTGGTTTATGGCAACTCCCTTAATATTAAAAGCCCTATGAAATCTGCACTGTTCTCCCCCCCACCCCATTTTTTTTTACCAGGGGGGAGATGAGACTCAGGAGGAGAAACAAGGCCAAAGTCACATGCAGGGCCAATCATGAAGGGCAGGGCGCAAACCTAGACCTTCCTCCAGTCCCCACTTTATTAAGTCTTGTCCCTTCGAGAGATCCTTTCATTTGGGGGAGAAAATGCAAAGTAAGTACTCAGAAGTTCAAAAATCGGGAGGAGAAAGTGAGAAAGTCAGTGTTTTCAATGGTAACAAAAAGGGCTGATCCATCCAATTCAAGGAAAACACTGAAAAAGCAGGATATGGACGAGATGCTCCAAGGGGCATACGGAGGGAAGGGCAGATTGCAGTTTACAGCTCCCACAGGTTTAAAAGCCATCAGAACACCAGGCCCGCAGTCCGCCCCCTCCCCCCATGTTAGAAGCACCTAGGTCCTAGAGAAAAGCCTGCAAAATACCACTCCCCATCATAATTCCCGCACACGGTTCCTATTCCCTCAGCCCTCGGTTCTGGTCGCCTCTCGGTCTTCTAAGCCCCCCGCGCCTAGACCTCACCCCCCCCCCCGCCCCGCCGCCCGCCCCATACAACACCCCACATAATAATAATCGTTTCCTTTTCCCGTCGCCGGTCCCTTTCCGGGGGATTCATCTCCTACGCAGTCACCCAAGAATTCTGCAAGCGCGGAGCGGTCCTTCCCCAGCCCCAGCTCCCGCGAAGGGGAGTCCCCATCCCCCTGGG